TAAGGGTTTAGGGCGGCTTAGGGCTGAGGGTTTGGGATTTAAGGCTTAGGAAGTTGAGGGTTTAGGGATTAGGGGGTCTTCATGGATCCTAAACTCTCTCTCTGAAGCCGCGAAGACAGCCTTGCAAACCCATCTACAATGCTGTACATCCCTATATCGCTTCTTGCAAAGTCCACATAAAACCATGTAAACCCTGACCCGCAGCTTTATACGTGTAAAACTCCCGAGGTGGCTACGGTCATAGACAGGCTGTGTGTGCGTCCGACGGAAATCGTCCTCCACCTCTGGGTTCAGGTTTTAAGGCGCTCGAAATTTTCCCACGTGGTTGCTTCATAAACGGGTTTTAGAGGCAAGGTTCTACACGAAATGTAAGCCTTCCTTCATAACGGTTCTATAAGGTTAGGTGTCCATCGGGTCTCAACGCTTTTCGGATTCAGGTTCAGGGCTTACTATACCCCCTTGCAGCAACCATAACACAAATAGTATTTCGAATATTCTCTTGGGTTTTAGATGAACAAAAAATGATTCAGAGGGAGACTGGACTATAGCTTAAGATACCGGTTGCAGGCTCTGAAGGTTCAGGGTTTATGGACAACACTTAGAGGGGCAGGGGACTTAGTAAGTAGGTTATAAGTAGAGTTAAAAGTACCCTAAATGGAGTTACCCCAATTCTAGCCCTACTTATAAACGACTTACTAAGTCCCCTGCCCCTCCAAGCAAGCCCTGACGGTCAGACCCTCACCCAAGGGCCCATAGGGTTCCTTGAAATGGTTCAATAAAGGGTTTTGTAGGGTTTAGGGTATAGGGCCCATGTACCCAAATAGTGTATAAGTGTACTTTGGCCTCAAAGTCGTCCCTAGATAGGTACTTTGGGACCAAAGTATATAGTATTTGGTTGCCTTAGGGAAAGGCAAGAGCACTTCCAGGTCTTACAAGGGCGGAAATGACAGTTTCTGTAGAGGTTAATGCAATTCCGAAATTCCGAAACTGGCTGGATACAGGGGTGTAACACAGTATGTACATTAACAAACCTCAAGCATCAAATACTTTTTCAAGGGCGCGTATCAGAGTTCCGGTAAGACCTTTGACTCTGCAATCTAGATATCCCAGCAATTTATGCTATACCTGTGCAAAGATTCCAAAAGACAAGTTAAATAACAAGTGTTTACCCACTCCAACGTCACGTCTGGGTCTGCGAGGCCGAGTGAGTCGAGCCAACATCCAACAAACCGAATAGCCCTAAACCAAAAACACTTTCGCCAAATCGTACCAACCCTCAAAGGCACAAGAAACATCGAACCCCCTGAGCTGGTACAAGAACAACAAGCATTAGGGGGGTTGGAGTGTGGGCTTGTAGTGTTGCGGTTCATGAACATATACGCGCAAGCATCCTGCGAGATTGATGACGGTATGACGATTTACATGTGTATACTGTACACAAACATATCTGTGTATGTAACAATGCCTTTTTTTAAACATACATGCACATGTTCGAGCACATGCACGCTATGTACGTTTAACATGTGTTTCTTTAATGGTGTGAACTGCGAGCCTATATATATATATATATATATATATATATATATATGATCCCGGTTCGGCCGGCCCCCCCCCTCCCCCCCCCCCAATGGTTCCTTCTCCCCTCCTGTGGTGTGGTGTGGTTGTGGGTTGCTTCCCCCTCCCCGTGGTGTGGTGTGGTGTGGTTCGGGAGTGGGTCTGCTTAGGCTGGTTACCCCACTCCCCCCTGTGGTGTGGTGTGGTTTGGGTTTCCTGCGTGGGTCTGCTGTGGTGTGGTGTGGTTGTGGGTCGCTTCACCCTCCCTGTGGTGTGGTGTGGTGTGGTTCGGAGTGGGTCTGCTTAGGCTGGTTACCCCACTCCCCCCTGTGGTGTGGTGTGGTTTGGGTTTCCTGCGTGGGTCTGCTGTGGTGTGGTGTGGTTGTGGGTTGCTTCCCCCTCCCTGTGGTGTGGTGTGGTTCGGGAGTGGGTCTGCTTAGGCTGGTTACCCCACTCCCCCCTGTGGTGTGGTGCGGTTTGGGTTTCCTGCGTGGGTCTGCTTGGCGTGTGAGCCCTCGTGTGGACACACAGATTCGGCTTGGGGAGCGTGGGGGGGGGGGATACCATTGGGGGGGGGGGTCAGTGAACCGAGAACCGGGATCATATATGTATATGTATACAGTCATTTATGTGGGTGTCGGTTTAGGAATATAGGCTCCTTTAATGCGTCGGCTCCGGAGCTAATTCCGAATCTGACCAAAAATTTGGGGGTACTAATTAATGCGTTTTTTTTTGGCTGGGGGATTTTTTTAAGGGCGGGGCTGTGCTGGTTGCTGATGGTCAATCTTAAGGCAGCCACGACCTACACCCCCACCCAAACCCTAAAACCCTGGCCCTGAAGCCCGAAAATCTCTTGCAGAATTGTTTCGCTTATTGGGGCGTCAGGAATGAAATCTGTACTACTACTGTACTACTATTGTACTATTGTACTGCTACTGTATTGGGAATTGGACCCTTGCTCGACAAAGGCCTCTCCAGTAATAAAGTTTGTAAAAAAAAATCAATTTTGGGTCGAATCTGGACCGACCCCCCTTTGGGAAGGGTTTAGGGCTTAGGGTTTAGGGTTTGTTAGGGTTTAGGAGTTTAGGATTCGTTAGGGTTTAGGCTTTATGCTTTGCTTATTGGTACTATTTCTGTACTGTGACTGTATTACTACTGTACTTCTGTTGTACTACTACTGTACTACTGTACTACTATTGTACTACTACTGTACTACTCCTGCACTACTATTGTACTACTGTACTAATATCGTACTACTACTGTACTACTATTGTACTACCACTGTACTACTGTTGTATTACTATTGTACTACTGCACTATTACTTTACTACTACTGTACTACTACTGGACTACTATTGTACTACGGTACTATTACCGTACTACTACTGTACTACTACTGTACTACTATTGTGCTACTATTGTACTACTGTACAATTACCGTACCACTACTGTACTACTATTGTACTACCACTGTACTACTGTTGTATTACTATTGTACTACTGCACTATTATTGTACTACTATTGTACTACTACTGTAATATTTCTACTGTACTACTGTACTATTATTGTACCGCACCAAGCTTCAGACGTGGTCGATTGTGGGTGGGAGTGTGGGAGTGTGGGAGTGTAGCTTACGGAGGCAAAAGTGTTCAAAACGAAAGGTTTTTAGTCTTGGAAGTAATCTTGGAGTGATCGGGGCTTGGTTTCCAGCATTTGGTGATCCCCAGACCCCCCCGACCCCCGACCGCGCATTCGCGCAGAACCGCAGACCCTGCACCCAAGCCAGCCCCCAAACCCCGGCACCTCCCAATTCCCTGCCACTCAGACCCCTGACCCCTGTCCCGGCGTCACAGGCTCCATATTAAATAGAATTTATTTTTGGTTGGGTGGGGAAGGGGGGGGTACCCTACTATTAAACCGACACCCACATTACAGGATTATGAACGAACATGGTTCAGCGGACCAGGCTATACTCAGACTCTAAAACCCCTAACCTCTGTGGGCTTTCGGTTCAGGGTGAAAACTTTGGGAAACCCTACTGCGCCAAATCGTAATCAGGAAGGATCTGTGTTCGTCCCTGTATGAGTGAACATGGGAACTGAGGATGAACAGTTGGAACTTTACTTTATAGCTGTGAACGAATGAACAACTAAAACTGGGTATGGGGTGTGAAACAGTATACTTATGCAGGTACTCAAATGGGCTGGTGCCAGGTGTCCCGACCTTCGATTAGATTCCCCCCCCACCCGAGAGGAGTCCCGAAAGGTTAAAGGTTTCACACGATATCCCAGCCCCTAATGCCGTGGATGCTGTATATCCACCCCACATGTCCTCAGAGCTGAGTTTAGGGTTTAGGGTTTAGGGGTTTTGGGAACCCTAAACCCCAAAACCCTAAACCTTGCGGCGAGGGTTTTAGGGGAACTAAACCCACCTGAAACCGATGGGGCTCGTGCTTGTCTCCACTTTGCGTTCGACTTCTTCAACAGGTCCTTTCGAGCACGTAGTGGCCAATATAAGGGAGTTTCCGAGAATAAGGGGTACCTTATTTTGGGGTCCTTAAAACAAGGATCCAATTACTTATGTAGGGTACCAGATTAGGTTCCTATTTAGGGAAAACCCCATACAGAGTGCAGAAAAGCTAAAGGCTTAAAGGGCATCGGGTTTGGTTTTGGGCGGTTGTATACGTGTTGCGCACGTGCTCCGCAATATTTCAACAGTGCATCATGTTTCCCTAAGGGTCTATGTACCCCAAATAGTATATACTTTGGGCCCAAATGTACCCATATATGGAGTACTTTGAAGCCAATGTTTCTACGATCTAGGTACATGGACCCTTAGGGTTTGGGATAGGTTAAATCTGATGTCAAACTGGGTTGCAAGCAGTTTTGAATGGTGTCCTTGCCTCCGACTTCGAACCGAGACAAATAGAATATATATATATATATATATGTATAAACCCTAAATCCTATAAACCCTATACGTACCCTGAACTATATATATATATATATATATATATATATATATACATACGTTCAAGCACTGCAGAACAAGTCCGGACGACGGCTGGTTCCTTTGCTCAAGGGATCCAACTGTGCAGCGGATCTTGCGTGAACACGGTTCCAACCCATTCCAAAAAGATCGAATTCCACCTTGATCCTGTGCATGCATGCAAGGACACGGCAGACCGACTCAAACCTTGATGGGGCCTTCAGGAACGGTTCGAGACGTGTGTAGGGCAGAATGGGCATAGGGCTTGAGGTTTTGGGCTTAGGGTTGAGAGCTTAGGATGGAGAGTGTGCGGGTTAAGGGTCTCCATTGGGGGAAGATCACCTTTACTACTGATGCTAAACCCAAAGCCTTGAAAACACAACACCAAGTCCTAAACCCTAAACCTGAAACCTCAAAACCCTACTAAGCCTTCAGCTTGCACCTAGTAGAATGTAGCCTAGTCCTTCTCCTTTAAGCAGGCAGACGTCCCGATGGCTGATGCTAACTGACTAACGTCCGACCGAACCCTACATATAAGCAGCTCGCCGACCAATGCCTCGAAGAGATATGGCCGCTCTCGCAGATCTCGCAGTAGTTTTTGCCTACAAGTCAGTCGGGCTTCTCGCTTAGGGTTCAGGGATGAAGTTTGGGGTTTGGGTGTTAGGGTTTCGGGTGTACAAAACTACTGTTCTTGAAAAGAACTTAAACAAATCATCGATGGTTCTTAAAGGAAGGGGTTTGCTAACCACCTCTCGTTTACATTCGGGTTCAGCAAGTGTTCGTCTGATGTCGCTTCAGGGCTCTTCCAGGGTGCTGAACGTGTTTTAGGGTTTGGGGCTTCGGGTTTAGGGTTTCGCAACGACTCACTGACCCCTTAATCCAACACTTCCTGGTAAGTTGTGGTGGTTGCTCATAGATATGCTCTTCGTGTACTTGGAGGTTCATGGGACTTAGTAACACTGGGGATATATTCAATTACATGTATAGTTATCTTCTGTAAAACCTTAAGTTTGACACGATATAGCTTATAATGGCAAAAGAGGTTCCAAGATGTCCCATGAGCCCGCAAGTAGGGGCTATTCTACTTTCAAGGGAGGAGGAGTCGGCACAAGAACATGGAGCCCGAGGGACCGCACTCCTACCGTTATGACAGATTTCCAAACCTATACTGAACTTAGAACCCTAGCAAAAAGTAAAATTTTAGCTGTTTGTTGGGGATTATAATTACTAGAAATTAAAAAGTATTTCTCTAAGTACCCCTAAGAAACTGACTCCCTTGATTGACGGAACCCATCAGTCACAGCAGCCCAGACACCGGCTTGAAACCCTATAGCAACACATGTACCCTAAGGGTCCAAGTTCCCAAATAGTAGGGTTTCTAGGTCCAAGAACCATTCAGAGTATGGATTTTGGGACCCAAAACCCCACTATTTGGGTACTTGGACCCTCTGGGTTATCTCTCCATCAATGAAGGATACATAAACCCCACAGCCGAAGCCCGAAGAAGCCTCGCCGTTTCTGCGCACTTCTGCTGAAACTCCAGGTACGCGCTCCGGGCTTCTTGGTATCTTCGAATGAGGCCCTCCCACCTCAGCTAGGAGTCGTGGATATCCATCGACCCCCATGAATTGAATAGCTTTATGGGGGTTTCCGACAATAGGGGACCCTAATATAGTGCCCTAAATAGTAGGATCCCTTAAAGTAGAAGCCAGAAAGTTGGAATATCAGTATCGTAACCCCTTTAAGGTAAATTATAGGGGATCCTACCATTAATCCATATTCCAACTTTCTGGCTTTTACCTTACTGGGTCTGGTTGGAGGACCCAGAGCTTCCTTGTCCAGTAACACTGGGGAACTAAACCCAAATGATCCGTGCTTACTACGCGGATGGAATTAAATTGGACCCTCTGGGAAAGGTGAACCTGCGGGACTGCATGTGGATTGTCATACCTCAAACAACCCTCAAAAGGATAAAGGTTACATGCTCTCCTGCTAAGGAAGGGAACTGCGTCTCCAAGCCTGACTCTTGATTAGGGTTCTCGGAGTTTAGGGTCGAGGATTCCTTCAAAATAACGATTTCTGAAAGGGCTCAGGACGGTGCTGGGTTTAGATCCGATCCCAAGGACCCTAGAGTTGGTCGGGGCCCTCGACTAGGCCCCAGACACCTTAAGGACCCAATATTCAGGGTCCCTGGAAGCCTAGGTAAGGTTTAGGGAGTAGGGTACCATACCCCTAAGCTTAAGGGTTGGTGGATCATGCGACTTGGAAAGCCGGATCATCAGGGGTTATACTACGCGCGAGGGTGCTGACCTTGTTTAGAAACCCTACAGATACTTAGTTACTAAGCCCCGCGACCATTGAGATCGTGTAAAACCAAAAGGGACGTTCACACTCGCACTGCCAATCCTGTGCGGACGTGTGTTCATGTGTGTATATATATAAATACATACATATGTATGTGTATCTATATGTATATGTATAATATATATATATATATATATATATATATATATACGTGTGTGTGTGTGTTTGTGTGTGTACTCTCCTTGTCCAGCCATACATCTACACGCATATCTGTACATACATATCTGAGTGTGTGTATATATATATATATATATATATATACATACACACATGTAAACAAATGATACCATGGGTGCGATGCCTATCCTTATATAACTATGAACATGTGTATGTGCACATGCATACATACATACATACATACATACACACATACAGACATACATACACACGAACACATATACGTATGTTCATTATACATGTATATACACACACCTACACAGTGCAAGTGTTTTTCCCGGCTGAGGTCCACGCTTGCTAAGATAGGTGCTCCAGCTGATGCACAGGAGACGAGCCTTCGGATTGTTGTTCTTCTTGTTCTGGTGGTTTAGGGTTAACTTTTGGAAGTTTTGTCGGGTGAATCCGCGTTGACTTCTATGGTAGGATTCATCGTGTTTGTTTAGTAATTAAGGGTCGGCTGTTTGACGCACGTGGTGCTGAGTTGCAGCATGTGAACTGAACTGTGCTGTGGTTCTATTTGTAGTTTAACAACTTAACTTGTGTTGCTTTGTTCTTTTGGTGGAGCTTCTCCCGCGCAACCGCTTTTGTGAAAGGAAGGCAGCATAGTCAAAATGGCTGGGTCTCACCATTGAAACAGCTTCGTCTCGGCCACACATTCCGATAATCATTTAAATTACCGCTAAACCTTTCACGATTCTCTTTGCGCCACGCTGCGCAGCAGTCACGAACCAGTCAAAAGCTCAAACGAGACCTGTACGGGGGCTTTAACAACTAAAACAGGGTGTTCGAGGGAACTCTTCTGAGCTGTGTAGGGGCTTTAACAAAGACAGGGTTGTGGAGTACCATCTCAAAAACATCAAATTAGAACGACGTACTATAATACACCGCAGAAGCGCTAACTCAAGATTCAAACGGTTCTGGGTCAAAACAAAAACAAAACTACAGGGGACGAGTCAAGTCTGTAAACAGCAGCTTGTATGATATTCAGGGTCCAGGGTTTCGGGTTTATGAGTCCTCCACCTTGGCAACCAACATCTTTTTCATTCTCAGCACAGTCAGAGGTTGAAATTTCCATGTAGTACCCCAGGAAACTATCTATGTCTACCTATCTGTGTATCTATCGACCTACCTATGTCTATCTACCTTTCTACCCATCGATCTATCTACCTACCCATCTACATATAGCTGTCTCTCTCTCTGTCTAGCCGTATATGTATATATATATATATATATAGATATGTATATACCTGTGTCATCTATCTGCAAAATCTACTCGGCCACCCATGTACATCTGCATATGAGTGTCTAACTATCTAGCTAGCTGTACAAACCGAACTACCCTATACCTGTCAATATCTATCTAGATCCATCAGTCTATCTGCCAATCTAGGTATCTGTCCATCTACGTATCCAAATATCTAGCGGTATGCAGCTTTGGGAGATCAGTATATACATGTAACATGGGGGTATAGGTGTATGTCTCTGTTCAAACATTTACATAGAAGCGTGCATATATCATTAACACGTAGTTTATGTGTGCATTTTTATACCACTTTGTAACAAAAACATCTGAAGACACACGATTGAGTGTGTTATGTACAAACATACCTGCATACACCTGAGCCTTTCATTTTAATGCCTACGAACCCTCAAATGAGGGCGACACCAGCTGCCGCGCTGCTCGCACCGGAGCTTCCAAGCCCTTCGCAAAGGAAGTATGGCTTTGCGTTTTAGGGTTTGGGCTTCTTTTCAGGATGCTTAGCGGGTTACTACAAGGGTTGTAGAATGGGTGAGGGTTTAGGATTTAGACATTTGGATTTGGATTTGGAGTCGCTTGGGATACCGGAAGACGACCACAGCTTTCTTGTACCGCAGCTTGTGTTCAAGTCGTTCAGTGTGTTCCCGGTGCAGTTTCTCTTACTGCGCTTCCTCAACTTCGATGTGTCTTGTGGGACCAGCGAACAGGGCGGTTCCCCCATGTAACGTACCCCTGCCCATTTGCCAATGTAGTTGACATCGGGGATTTCCCCTTTATGCTGTTGCGTATCGGCAGAGGCAGCATGGCACGCTTTTCCCCACATGGGTGGTTGTCAAAATTATGGTCCCTTTTAGGGTACCTTAAATGTTAGGTGGCGTATTGTAACAAGGACCCCCAAAAACGACCCTAATGTTGACAACCACCCACGTGGCTCCACAGGGAGCATCACCAGCTTATCGGCCGCGCCAAAAGCTTGATGCTTTGGAGTTTCAGGGGCGTCTGGCTTTGGGTCAATGAGGGGTATGGTGTTTTGTTTTGTGCGCTTTCACGATGCATAGTATGGCCCTAATTATCGTAAATATGACTATAGCCACTATATGTGTATAACTGCAAAATATTACTCTAGGTACATATTCGGGGCCTGACGTTACCTTCAGGTTAACTAGAAAGTTTCGAGTTTAGGGCTTCGGGGCTCTCGAGCCCGACAGACTTCAAGGCTTCAGGGATTCGTTTTTGAGGCTTTTGCTATTAATGGCTTTAGGGTGTATAGGATTTAAGACTTTGCTATTTTTATGCATGGCTTCAGGGCTTTAGGGATCTTTGTCATTTCTGATTTGCGGCTTTATGGCCGTAGGGTTTGGGGGTTTAGGGTAGTTTAGCCCTAAGCCCCGTGAGCTAATCAGTCAAACTCTCAGCGCCCAACCATTCAGACCTCTACGCTAAGGCCCTATAAGGGCTCAAGTACCTAACAATCATGTACTCTCCCGAAGACTATCCTACAAATACTATCCGAATGCGAAACCTCAGTACCTAATTATTGGGTTGTTTGGACGCTTCGGGCTATATTCGACCCACCAACTGCCCCACATGGAGTCTACTAAAGGTGCGCGAGTAGGTACACTGAGGATCCTGAATTCAAAGTCTCCGAACATTGACGGGAACTGCAACCTTTCAAACACTAGGCCCTAGACGTGCGGACGCCTCCGAAACAAGAAAATGATAGATGTAAGAACTTCCAACCACACTGCCTAATAACACCCGATAGAACCCTTTATAGAACAAGAACCCTTAGACGACTCAAAAGACCCCTCAAAAACGTCGAGAACCCAGACTAGGTGGCCAGATCCTGAAAATACATCCTCTCAAGCCTTGTTTCAAGAAAACTTTAGTTCTTAAAACAACAGCCAAGAAAACCCAAGGACCTTATCAGACCTTATAGTGACCCCACTAAAGTGGAACATGGGTTTTGGATGGTTCAGCTGGAATTCCCTATACATTGACGTTAAGGGCACGCAGATAGTGATGTTCCAGCTTTCTGGCATCTGCTGTATACAGACCCTAAACCCTAAACCCTAAACCCTAAACCCTAAACCCTAAACCGTCCGTACATAAATGAATCCCGAACTCCGGACCCGACCTCCTGCACCACGAGGTATGTGACTTGTGGTGGCTCTTCGGCTCCTGCCGTGGGGGACAGGGCTTAGGCCCGTGTTGTTCGGGGATGGTTCAGGGTTTAGTTTAGGGTTTAGGGTTTAGGGTTTAGGGTTTAGGGTTCAGGGTTTAGGGTTTAGGGTTTAGGGTTCAGGACGTTGGAGTTTTGGAGTTTAGTTCGGGGATTGAGAGGTCTCGGGTTTAGGCTACCAGGCTGTTCCGCCGCCGAAAGCGTCGGCTCAGCCTGGGCAGCAAGCGTCTAGTTCCCGAAAGCATCGCGAAGGGTTCTTCCGTGTGGAACGCCGCAGCTGAGTACATAGATGACAGACATAGAATCAACTTACTTGACTCCATACTTTACTCTACACTCTACACTTGATACTTGACTCTACACTTGATACTTACTTACTTACTTGACCCCTATGACTGACTCTCTACACTTGACACTTGACTCTATGATACTTGACTCTACACTTGATACTTGACTCTGTGTTATGCTATCTCTATACTTGCTTACGACTTACTTACTTACTTACTTCACTCTACTTACTTACTTACTTGATTACTTACTTACTTACTTCACTCTACTTACTTACTTACTTACTTGACACTGGACTCTATGGTATGCTATCTCTATTATGCTATCTCTATACTTACTTACTTACTTACTTACTTTTACTTACTTACTTACTTACTTGCTTGACTCTCTGCCTCTATGACTTTGACTTATTGACTTACTCTCTACATCTCGGTATCTAATTCTCTCTTCTAAAGCCAGGGGTGGCACCGTTGTCGTCCATCGGGAATGCAACCCTTCCCAGGGATTCGCCTCCTCGGGCGTTCAAACGCGAGGTAAAGTTACACATTTTAGGGTTCCCGCGCAACCCTTCCCAGGGATTCGCTGCCTCGGGCGTTCAAACGCTAGGTAAAGTGACACATTTTAGGCGCCCGCGCAACCCTTCCCAGGGATTCGCTGCCTCGGGCGTTCAAACGCTAGGTAAAGTGACACATTTTAGGCGCACCGCGCAACCCTTCCCAGGGATTCGCTGCCTCGGGCGTTCAAACGCTAGGTAAAGTGACACATTTTAGGCGCCCGGCGCAACCCTTCCCAGGGATTCGCTGCCTCGGGCGTTCAAACGCTAGGTAAAGTGACACATTTTAGGCGCACCGCGCAACCCTTCCCAGGGATTGGAACTCTCGGGCGTTCAAACGCGAGGTAAAGTTACACATTTTGCGGTGCCCGCGCAACCCTTCACAGGGATTCGCCTCCTCGGGCGTTCAAACGCGAGGTAAAGTTACACTTCTTGCGGGCGCCGCGCAACCCTTCACAGGGATTCGCCTCCTCGGGCGTTCAAACGCGAGGTAAAGTTACACTTCTTGCGGGCGCCGCGCAACCCTTCACAGGGTTTGGGTGCAGTTCAATTTTTTTTGCAACCCTTCACAGGGATTTGCATTTTGCAACCCTTCACAGGGATTGGCGTGGTCGGGTGTTCGAACGCGAGGTAAAGTTGCATTTTTTGATTTGCATTGAAATGAATTTTGCAACCCTTCACAAGGATTGGCGTGGTGGAGTGTTCGAACGCGAGGTAAAGTTGCAATTTTTGATGAGCATTGAGATGAATTTTGCAACCCTTCACAAGGATTGGCGTGGTGGAGTGTTCGAACGCGAGGTAAAGTTGCAATTTTTGATGAGCATTGAGATGAATTTTGCAACCCCTTCACACAGGGATTGGCGTGGTCGAGTGTTCGAACGCGAGGTAAAGTTATTACTTTTGATGTGCATTGAGGTGAAACTTGCAACCCTTCACAGAAATTGGCGTTGTCGAGTGTTCGAACTAGTACTAGTACTACTACTACCACTACCACTACTACAACTATTATTACTACTACTACTGCTACTACTACCACTACTACAAAAGAATACTACTACTACTACTACTACTACTACTGCTATTACTACTAGTACTACTACTACTACTACTACTACTACCACTACTACTACCACTACTACTGCTACTGCTACTACTGCTACTACTACTACTACTACTACTACTACTACTACTAGTACCACAACAACAACTACAACTACAACAACAACTACTACTACTACTACTACGACCACGACTGCGACTACGCGACGACGACTACTACTACAACTACTACGACTACCACTACTATCACTACTACTAGTACTGGTACTGCTAGTACTACTACTGCTACTGCTACTACTACTACTACTACTACTACTGCTGCGACATAAAGTGACCATGCATAGAGTCATAGAGTCACGTTGAAACCACAGTAATCAGGGATGTCTATATAGTGAGGTTCCGGAGCTAGGAAAGGAAGACTTCTGCGTCATGTTGGACTATACTCTAAACCCGCTAAACCTGAACATTAGTGTTCATAGAGTGAACTACATCAAGTCAAGTGCGTGGTACATAGATGACTCCATGACTCTATGACTCTTTCTCACTCTGACGCTATGACTCTATAACACTATGACTCTATGATTCTGTCTCACTGTGACTCTATGACTCTATATGACTCTATGACTCTTTGAACTATGACTTGTGCTTGACATGTACTCGACTCTATTTCTCGATGACTCTATGAACTATGACTTGTACGACTCTTGACTGTATGTGACACTCCGACTCTGTGACTCCGTGCTTTTGACTCGGTGACTCTATGACCCTATACACTGGATTCTATGACGTAGCGTAACACTCTTCGCTGATGATGCTTTCGGGCCAATTGTCTTCTAGTCGCATTTTCCTTCACAGCTGTCGGAGGATGCACAGCAGCTGCACCTCGTTCGGGCGCCTGCGATTCGGACGCCCGCCGTGGTGCCCCCCAGTGTCCTCCCAGGCACCTGGTACCACCTGGTGTTTCCCAAAGAAATGCTGCTTCAAGGCACGCCGGTCCTTGAAGCAGCGCGAGCACCCTGCTCGGTCTCCGTCGCGGGAGGCGGTGTTTTACGCAGGCTCATCGTGCAGGTGTGTGAGGTATGCGTGGGGGACGAGGGCTTACTGGGGTTTAGACTTGTGCAGTTTGTGGTCGAGGCCGAGGGTTCCGGAATCACGTCGAGGTTCGGCGTAGGGTTTTATATAAAAGCCTTGAAGCCCCTTTTCAAAAGCTGTCATTGTAGGGTTTTAAGGTGTCGGGTTGGGGGTTTTGGCCAAGATGGTCAAGCATTCTGAAGTTTCAGGGAGAAAAAGTTTCGGAATCGTGCCGGGTTAGGGCTTAGGTTTTGGGGTGTTTAGGGTTTAGGATGGTTACTATCTACGAACCCTATACCATTTACATGGGCGCTCGAGGCTCTGACCGTGTCGAGCGTCCCGTCAGAACCTTGAGGGGGGGAAACCCCCCGGTCTCTGCCCCCAGGCTAGGGTTTAGGGTTTAGGGTTTAGGGTTTAGGGTTTAGGGTTTAGGGTTTAGGGTTTAGGGTTCGGGCTGCTGGCAAATTCCAGCGGCCCGGTCCTAATGTTCCAAAATGACCCAGGAGGTGCGGGTTGTTTTTGTTGGATACCCTGGCTTCTCGTGGAGCCGCCGGCACAGGCCGCGAGGACCCACAACCCAACACTAATCCATCTCCGCTGTGGTTTTGTTGTGAAACCTTCAGGTTATGTGGAACTGCGACGGCTTGGGGAGGGTGAAGCCTAAACCCTAATTGAGAATAGTTGGGGTGGTTGGCGCGGGACTACATGCTGACGCAAGCGCGCTATAAGTGGGTGCGCCCCCACTCCTAAACAAGCGCACCCGCCATACTGCACACACCCTATATAAACCCTAATCACTGAACCCATAAAGCCAATAATTACCCTCACCCCTCATCAAACCCTATACCCCTAAATCCCTAAACCCTAAAGCCCTAAACCCTTCTTTACGAACCCCTCTCCTGCAGCCGCCGACTTCGAGAGCTTTCGTCCGTTCGGTGTCACTTGCGGAGGCGCGTGGCCGCTGAGGTCGTCCAAAGAGAAGGGCCTCTTGGGGGTTATCTGTATCCCCAAACCCTACAAAATGGTAGGTTATGACCCCTCATATAATCAGACGGTCTGACCCTTAAAACGGTAGGTTTTGGATCCAGCTTTGGTTTAGGGTTTAGGGCTTATAGGGGCTAGAGGGTTTATAGGCTTAGGGCTTATAGGGCTTTCAGGGTTTATAGGGTTCTGGGGTTTAGGGATTCGGATTTACGGTTTTGTACATTGTAGGGACTTGAAGGGTGTTGCTACTTGTACCGGGAGGGTGAACGGCCTCGTTTTCGGAGTTCAAGCAGCTGTTCAGGTGTTCAGGGTTTTGCACACCTCGTTTTCAGAGTTCAGGCAGTTTCATCGGGCTCTGTCCATTGCAGGGGCTTGAAGGGTGTTACTAGTACCAGGGTTTGTAGGGTTTTGTTATATTAGGTTTCAGAGGCTACTGGAAGCAGAGGAAGCCGGTCTTTATGGTGTATAAGGCTTTAAGGCCCCTAAACCCTAAAACCTTGGAGTTTAGGGACCTGTTGGGG